AAAGGTGGTGTGTCTTTTACTCCCTTCTTTTCCAGCAGTGGGCAGCGGGGCCAGAGCCTGGCCGATGGTCTAGAGTACTTGGGAACCACTTTGGAAAGCAGGTGGGGCGTTGGGGGAGAAATGCTCTTGAGTGCCTTGACCGCAGCTGCAAGAACGGGGAAGGAAGGCAGGGCTTCCGCCGGAGGAGAAACTTTGAAACTCAGGGTTGAAACCGGGCGCCCTGGGTGCTCTCTGACCTGGGCTGCTTCCTTGCAGATGCCTCATGAGCCAACTAGAAGTCTATATAAACGGAGGGCAAACCTCACCCCCTTCTAGCACTGATGATGCTGTCCAGTGGGGTCACGAGAGGGGTCTTCAAGAGCAGGGCTTTTCAACCTTTTCACCCATTGTACCACTTTTAGGATAGGGCAATATCCGAGTACCACCAGTCGCCTAGCAAGGGGTCAAAAATTTGATGACCCCCCCAAAATAGAAGGAAAAAAGTGATAAAGTACAGGTAGTCCTCGACTTACAACACTTTGCTTAGTGACTGTTCGAAGATCCAATGGCACTGAAAAAAGGGACCCCCAAGCCACAGCCGAGCAAGACGCCTGCCTGCCCGCCCGGCTGCGCTCTTCCTCCTGTCCGAGGTTTTCATTGTTGTGAGCATTTCTGTTGAGGATTGGCAGCGGGGGTGGGATTAGGGGGTGTTTAGTTTTTGTTCCCCCCCGTCTGCTGGGTGGTTGCAGCAGGTTTTGGTCCCTTCACATGACCCTGGGACACTGTGACCGTCATAAATATGAATCCGTTGCCAAGCATCTGAATGTAAATCACAAGACCCTGGAGAGGCTGCAACATTCCAGCTGATCGGCGCTTCTTCTGGGCTCAGCAGAAGCACCAGGATCAGCGCCGAGCTCCAACTGGATCCTGGCGCTGATCCTGGTGCTTCCGCTCAGCCCTGACAGCCCTGCAACTCCAGCCGTCTCTCGCTCAGGCTTGTGCGGTGCTGCCACCGGTTCAGCTCATTCCCCTCCCCCGCTACCACTTTTCTAGGATGGTCGCGTACCACCTGCCAGGTGCCCATGGACCACAGGTGGAACCCGTACCACTGGTTGAAAAGCCCTGTTCAAGAGGACAACCCAGCTCGGAGAGGACCCAGGACCCAGAGTACAGGGCTGCCTATTTCTGGGGCCAGGGTGCAGGCGAACTTCAGCGCCACCCGGGGGGGGCCAAGGGGGTGCCGGCCGCTGCATTTGGGGAGCTCCTCCCTTTGATCTCGGGGGTCCCGTCGGGTTGCGCCTTGCCAGGCTGCTCCCCGCACGAGCTCCGGAGGCTCCTGGTTGCCGGCAGCGGCAAAGGCACCGGGTTTATGCTCCAAGCCACCTGGATCCAGACTTTTCCTGACCTTTTCCAGAGCACGTGGCAAAAGACGTGCCTTCGCACGGGAACCAGGGCCCCGTTCTGTATGCTGCCTTGTTTTTAACTTTCCTAATAAGGGAGTCTTTATTGCCTTGACACTTGGTGGAAAGAAAGCGTCCGGGGATTAAAAGAATGTCGTTGCGCCTTTCGCCCTTCCAGTGTCATCTGGGCCTCGGTCCCACTTCTTAATCAAGCCCAGAACGGGAGACCTTCCCAGTCCCCAGAAAGTCCCCGTGACTGCAGATCCGCTGTGCTCTGCGGACGGGCGGGCCCAGGTCCCCGTCTCTCTCTCTGCCCGGCCTCCGGGTTTGGGTGGCATCTGTGTCACCGTGTCCCGGGTTCACACGACCCCCTTTCGCAACCTTCTGACCGGCAAAGCCTGCAGGGAGGCCCTGTTCACCAAACAACCGTGTGACCAGCTTAGCAGCTGCCGTGGTTGCCTTAACAAGGTCGTAAAACGGGGCCAAACTCATTCAACCAGTTCCTCACTGAGCTACAGAAACATTGGGCTCAATTGTGGCTGTAAGCTGAGGACTGTGTGGCTGTTCTGGGTGGTTGTGGTTGTGGTTGAGGAAGGGGGGGACAATGTCCTCAGCCAAGAGGGGAGGTAAGGGGGCAGGAAGGCAGGCCCAGGGGAAGGGGTGCCACATGGAAAGCCAGTTCTTGGCCCGATATTTGGTGAAGGCCCTGGAGGGAGGGAGGGAATCTCCTGGGAAGAGCAGCTCACAGAGCGAATGAGGGGGGGGGGGAGGAAGGGCCTTTGCCCCTCCAGATTACTCCGGGATCCCCCCCAAGATTTTATCGTGGCTGAAATGTAGATCAGTCAGAATGTCCTGAGATTTCTTTCTGCTGACCAAAGAGGGGTTGGCAAAACCTCTAGGACGCAGCCTTTTCCCAGCGCTTCGAAACAAAACCCATTTTCCATTTCACCCCCATCCCCTCCACGCCCCCCCCCCAGCTTCAACGTTCCCGTGTCCCCCACAAGGCAGCCCGAGGGTCTCTGCCCCACTCCGGGTAGGCAAGTGCGAGGAGGCCGTTGTTTACAACCAGGATACGCCGCCCGTGCTAAACAACGCAGCTCGGCTACGAGACTCTGTTGTATACACTTGTGGATGATTGCAGATGGTTTTATTTTGCATAATTCTGTTTTGTTCCCTATTAAGAAGGAGAAGGAACTTCGTAATACTGGCTTTAAAATAATCCAGAAAGTCTTTGGCAGAAAGGAATAGGAATGGGGGGGACGACGGCTAAAGAAGCTCTGTGGATGCCTTTCCAGACACGTTCTGTGGAAACGCAGGCGTGATCTTTCCTTTCACCAAGACATCTGAGGGCCTGACAGGCCCAGATGCTCGTGGCGCCGTCCTTGAGACGAAAGCCCGGGGTCTTCTGAATCGGGCCCTGCTCCCCGCAAGATGACACGCTTGCAGCTTTCTCTAACCGGGACCCAGGTGGGGAGTGGGACTCGTGTCCCAGAATGCACCACATCCCCTTGGCTTTTCCTAGCATGACAGCTAGGTAACCAAACAAGGCACAATTCCAGTCTGTCACTTAAGCCATCCTCTGATTAAGGCCAGTTTGTTGGAAGGTTTGGCTGGAAACCTCTTGCAGAATTAGCCCTGCTAGCTGACCCCCTCCTCTTTGTGGCAGCCCCTCAAATTTTGGAATGGCACTGGATGGCTTATTGAATGTCCAGGCCAGGGGTGGGCAACCTTGGCTCTTTTATGACACGTGGACTTCAACTCCCAGAATTCCTGAGCCAGCCATGCTGAGGGGAAAGGGAGAGGTTTCCAAGCTGAGCCATGCTGGCTCAGGAATTCTGGGAGTTGAAGTCCACCAGTCATAAAAGAGCCGAGGTTGCCCACCCCTGGCCTGGACATTTCCTTGCCATGGTGTGGAAGTGCTTTTGCCCCTTGTGCCTTTCCAGATCTCCTGCAACTTCCAGCCGAGCCTGCAAGCGGTGATTGCTCCAGGGGTCTCCGGTCGAAGGATTGACCCAGCCTGACCTCTTGGGGGTCGCCTTCCCTTGCGTAGGAAGACGTTTGCCTTGCTCCAGAATTAGCAGCTGTAGACCCCTCACTCCAAGGAGGGGGCAAACAGAGCCAGCATCCACAAGAGGTCCCCCTCAAAGGGGGGAGGCTGCAGCAGCAGAGCCCATCTCCTTTCACTAGACCCCCACCTGGTTGTCGGGACGTGGGCCCGGTCTGGTTTTGCAAGGCAGGGCTGTGAGTGTGAGAGGAACACAATCGACCGTTAGATGTTGGACTGCGGCTTTGTAGAGGAGTTCAGTCAGCAAGGCCTTCTCCTCGGGGGACCCTCCTGGATCCCCAGTCTTGGGCTGGAGGTGGTAATCATGATGATGATGATGATAATAATAATGATAAAGTTGGAAGGGACCTTGGAGGTCATCGAGTCCAACTCCCCGCTCAGGCAGGAAACCCTACACCATTTCAGACAAATGGCTGTCCAGTCTCTTCTTAAAAACTTCCAGTGTTGGAGCATTCACCACTTCTGGAGGCAAGGAGTTCCACTGGTTAATTGTTCTACCTGTCAGGAAGTTTCTCCTTAGTTCTAGGTTGCTTCTCTCCTTAGTGAGTTTCCACCCGTTGCTCCTTGTCCTGCCTTCAGGTGCTCTGGAAAATAGCTTGACTTCCTCTTCTTTGGGGCAGCCCCTGAGATACTGGAAGGCTGCTATCCTGTCCCCCCTCATCCTTCTCTTCGTTAAACTAGACATCCCCAATTCCAGCAACCGTTCCTTACATGCTTTAGTCTTCAGTCCCCTGATCCTCTTTGTTGCTCTTCTCTGCCCTCTTTCTAGAGTCTCAGCATCTTTTTTACATCGGGGTGACCAAAACTGGATGCAATATTCCAAGTGTGGCCTTACCAAGGCCTTGTAAAGTGGTATTAATATTTCACGTGGTCTTGATTCTCTCCCTCTGTTGATGCAGCCTAGCACTGTGTTGGCATTTTTGGCAGCTGCCCCAGGTGGCAAAGATGGTTTTGGCCCTTGTACCTGGTGCTGTGTCTTCTGAGTTTTTTGGGGGCATAAACAAACACAGTTTAAAAGCTCTCTGATGCTGCCCCTTTGGCAGCCCCTGGCTGGGGAATTCTGGGAGTTGAAGTCCACAAGTCATCAAAGGGCCAAGTTTGAAGACCCCTGCTCTAGTCTAACCCCCTCCTCCTTGGCTCCACTTCTAGCCGCTGTCGGGTCAGGGATAAAGGGGAAACTGAGTCGCTCACATCTGCTGAGTAAACCAAGCAGCTGGCAGTTGAATCTTCACCGGGACCACCCACTCGGATGAAATCTCAGGTTAATGAACCTCCTCCTAGCAGACCCTGAACACAACAGTCAAACATTCTGCTTGGACATCCCCCCCCCTCCCCTCCAAATTACAGACAGTTCTGTTGCATCTGTAGGAGCATGGCTGGCTGGGGAATTCTGGGAGTTGAAGTCCCCAGGTCTTAAGGTGGCCACGTTTGGAGATCCCAGGGTTAGTTTATATATCATTCTGCATATGATGTGAACTCAGAAAACAGGTTAATTCAGTGTTTCAGCAGAGAACTGCCTGCCTGCCTGCCTGCCTAACCCATTCTGCCTTATCCAGGTCTGTCTATGACGGTGCAGAACATGGACGCTTCATGGAGAAGCTGGACGCTCGCATCCGGAATCACGACCGGGAGATCGAGAAGATGTGCAACTTCCACTACCAGGGCTTTGTGGACTCCATCACGGAGTTCCTGAAGGTCCGGGCAGAGGCCCAGAAGCTGAAGGTAAAGGGGGAGGGTGTCAGCCAAAGGCAGTTTCAAAAGGCTAATGTGGTGTGGAGCATCTCAGGGGCCAGATGAGTCCAAGTTAGTCACCTGGGAGAAGGCCAGTGAGGGACTGAGGGTGCAACTCCATCATCTCTTTCTCTTTCTCTCTCTCTCTCTCTCTCTCTCTCTCTCTCTCTCTCTCTCTCTCTCTCTCTATCTATCTATCTATCTAATTCTATCTATATCTACTATCTACTATCTATCTGTCTGTCCGTCCGTCCATCCATCCATCCATCCATCCATCCATCCATGTGGGGAATGATGGCCCCTTTATAATTTGTGGACCAACTCCCAGGATTCCCCAGGCAGCATGCTCTATAGTCTAGACCAGGGGTAGGCAACCTTGGCTCTTTTATGACTCCTGGACTTCAACTCCCAGAATTCCTGAGCCAGCATGGCTCAGCTTGGAAACCTCTTCCTCTCCCCTCAGCATGGCTGGCTCAGGAATTCTGGGAGTTGAAGTCCACGAGTCATAAAGGGTCCATCGTTCCCCACCTCTGATCTATATCTGTCATCATCCATCCAGTTTGTGCTCCCAGCAACTCTGGGGGGGCTGGGGGGCTCGCCTCATGGGCTAAAAAATCGCCCTTCCAAACTTTCTTTTACAGAATCAAGTCACGGATACCAACCGGAAGCTGCAGCTGGAAAGCAAGCAAGTACGGAAGCCTCGGCTCCTCTCTTTGAAGCCTTTGTGGCCATTTTATTTACGGGCATTCCTCAGCTTGGGACTGCAGCTGGGACCAGAACGGCGAACGGAGAGCACAGAATCGGAGGGCTGGCGGGGGCCTAAAATGCTTGAGGGAGCGTATCGAATCCATCCGTCCAGTCTGTGCTTTAGCTCGGCCCTGCCCCCTTGAGTGTTTTCCGTCACGGAGCCCAAGTGACACCCAGGCGCTGGCTCTTGGTGGCCAAACCCTGGCCCACCCAGCTGCTTGCCCCTTCAGCCGGCCTGGAGGCTGGCTGGGGTTGGCTGTGCACGCACGTGGTCCCTGCGCTGGCTCCTGGCTCTCAACCAGCCCCTCTGGGGAGGGAAGGGGGCTGGGGCTGCCTGGGGTGATAAGGCCCGTGTCTCTCTCTCTCGCAGCTGGTGGGCGCCATGGAGGAGCTGAGCCAGTGCCGGTTGCAGCAGTGGAACATCTCTGCCACGGTGGACAAACTCACCCAGTGCCTTCCCGGTGAGAGAGAGACTCGCAGCAGAGGACGGAGGCACCTGGAGACGCTCTCCTCCTCCTCCTCCTGACTTCTGCCTTTGTTTTTGTTCCTTCCGCTAGTTCTGGAGATGGAGAGCAAGCTGAGGGAGCAGATGAAGTCCAAAAGGTAGGAGGCGCTCCTGGGCGGCTCTGGGTTTCATCCAGGGACCGAGGAAGGTTCCGGAGGTCGGGCTTGATTAACCACGGAGCCCTGGCAGTGCAGTGGTGAGAGTGCAGCATTGCAGGCTGACTCTGCCCACTGCCGGGAGTTCGATCCCGACCGGCTCAAGGTTGACTCAGCCCCTTCCGTCCTTCTGAGGTCGGTAAAATGAGGACCCGGATTGTCCCGGGGGGAAGGGGGGGCAAGAGGCTGACTCTGCCAACCGCTTAGAGAGGGCTGAAAAGCACGGTGAGGCGGTGTATAAGTCTTATGGCTCTTGCTATTAAGCCAAAGATCTGTGAGGGGTGGAATATAATGCTGGGGGGGGGGTGCGGCCCAGCTGGGGCTCACCCCTAAACTGGGGGTCCCCAGTCGTGGCAGCTTTGAGACTTGGGGATTTCTGCCAAACTCAAGAAGAAGGGTGAATTTCTCGCTCTTCTTATTGACTCCGGCGTGGCTTTACTCCTACGTCTGCTTCTTTTTCCAGAGTCACCGTTGTGAGTGGGGCAGCTTTGTATATTAATATAATAAATGAGAAATAAATAATATCCCAGACCCTTGATTCCCCTTTCCTGCTTTAAAAACACTATAAGGTTTAACGTGAGTTTGAACTTACAAGTAGAGTTCATTAAATCATTGCACCAACAGTTTCTGTGGACAAATTCTCTTTTTGTTTTTGTTTCTCTGGCTGGGTGGGTTCTCCTGATTTTGCATTTGCAGTTTTTCTGGGAAAAGGTTTTCCTTATTAAGGAAAAGACCGTTCCTTTTAGATGGCCGTTGGGCCGTTGCAGTAAATACGAAGAGGGGGACCCCCTCTTTTGCTCATAAGCGCTGCTTAAGAAGGGGGCACGAGGCTTGAGGCTCCCCTGGATGTCAGAGCCCCGGGGTGATCGTGGACACTTCTGTGGGCCAAGGGGGAGGAGTGGGAACCGTTGTCTCTCTCTCTCTCTCTCTCTCTCTCTCTCTCTCTCTCTCTCTCTCTCTCTCTCTGTGTGTGTGTGTGTGTGTGTGTGTGTGTGTCTGTGTGTGTTTCCAGAGCCCTTGGTGGATCTTCTATTTTGCCATTTCTCTGTAATATTTCCTCCTTTCTCCCTGCCTGGGGCTCATTTTTGTGTGACTCTGGCTTGATTCTAAGAAGTGGACACCCCCTAATAGGCAGGAGGAGGAGGAGGAGGGAGCACTCCTTTAAACAGGCTGTCCTTGACTTACAACAGTTCGTTTACTGACCATTTACCACAGCACTGAAAAAAGGGACTTAGGACCGTTTTTCACACGACCGTTGCAGCCTCCCTGTGGTCACGTGATCAAAATCCAGACGCTGGGTGACTGGCTCATATTTATGATAGTCGCAGTGTCCCGGGTGTGTGTGTGTCACACGATCCCCTTTTGCGATCTCCTGACAAGCAAAGTCCGTGGAGGAAGCCGGATTCGCTTCACGACCCTGTTGCTAACTTAACAACTTGCAGGGATGGACTTAAGCCCTGTGGCAAGAAAGGTCGTAAAATAGGGCAAAACCCATTTAACAACGGTCTCGCTTAGCAACAGAAACAGGTTCAATTGTGGTCGTAAGTCAAGGACTCACCTGTATGCGGTTTGTTGTCTTATCAATGGGGAGATAATTAGGGCTGGTAAAGTTCAGCACCCCCCTCCCCATCTCGGGGTGACCAATTCAGCGGGATGAACAGCTTAGGCCAGGGGTGGGGAACCTTGGCTCTTTTATGACCTGTGAACTTCAACTCCCAGAATTCCTGAGCCAGCCATGCTGAGGGGAAAGGGAGAGGTTTCCAAGCTGAGCCAAGCTGGCTCAGGAATTCTGGGAGTTGAAGTCCACCAGTCATAAAGGGGCCATAGTTCCCCCATGCTGGCTCAGGAATTCTGGGAGTTGAAGTCAAGGAGTCATAAAAGAGCCAAGGTTGCCTACCCCTGGCTTAAGGGGTTCCTGGCGTCGTGAAGGCTCGGCGAGCTTTAGGGTCCCCTGATGGGTGGGTGGGTGGAGTGGGCCGCCTTACCTGCCCCTGAGCCAGCTGGGTCCTTCCTTCCTTCCTTCCTTCCAGGCATTATCCCGCCCTGAAGACCTTAGAGCACCTCGAGCGGATGTGTTTGCCTCAAGTCAGCCATTACCGCTTCTGCAAGGTCCTGCTGGAGAACATTCCGAAGCTGCGGGAGGAGATCAAGGAGGTTTCCATGTCTGACCTCAAAGACTTCCTGGAGAGCATCCGTAAACACTCGGACAAGATTGGGGAGACGGCCATGAAACAGGTGAGGAGCCCGGCGGTGGGAGGCCGAAGCATCTCTCCCAGGTCACCGAGGACGTTGGCTCTCAGCCCTCTTTCCTCCCCTCGTCTCGTCCCGAGCCTTTTCCCTGCGCGAGTTCCCGAGGGCTGCTGAGCCTCCCTTCCAGATCTCAGGCAGCCTGTCTGAAGCCTCAGCTGCTGAGAAGGTCAGCCAGAGGCTGTGGCTTGCCCGCCCCTGTTCATGCCCTTGCTCAAATGCCCCTGGCCAGCCCCAGAAGGCTGGACTGGATGGCCTCGGGGCTCTCCCTCTGGGGCTGGCGTACACCGCTGTCGCCTCGAACGCTGGAAAACGCAGGCAGTGCTAGCTGGGCCTGGTTTCCGGTTTCTAGCTTTGGAACATGATTTATTTATTTTATTTATAAAACTTACAGGCTGCCCATCATACCTCAAGGTAACCCTGGGCAGCTTAAAGTCAGAAACGCTAAAAAACTCTGCAAACTAAAAGCAGGGCAGCTTTAATTTCTGACACCTATCGCAATGGGGGTGGTGGGCTTCTCAGGATACCGCCAGCCTAAACCTCTTGTTTGCTGCTGCTGGGGGTGGAGGGCTTAGCGTACCGTGCAGAACAGCCAAATCGGTTTAGTCATTTTTCGTTATGTCCATGCGTGCTCCTCGCCCGATTCCCATCGCAGTTGCGTGACGTACGGAAAACGCACCAGAAGCAGTAAGCCAAAGAAGGAGGCAAATGCCACCCCAATCTTGCAGTTCACTCAGGCTTCTTTCACATCCAGACTCTGCTTTGTGCCTTCCGCCTTCTCCTCTGCATTCCGTGAAAATGGGTTCATTGCATAACCAGGTTTGATATCTAGGGTGACTCTGGCCTCTGTCTTTGGAAGATAACCGGCTTACGTTGCCGTGACCGGACTGGATTTCAGATGACAGCCAAGAGGCATCTGCCTGCGCTGCTCTTGGAAAAGTTGTCGGCCGTGACATTTTGCTCTCCTGCGATGCTCAGCCCTCAGCTGTGGATGACAGGGGAATGAAAGGGGGCCTGGCCTTTGCTTTGCCCGGGGAGAGGACACAAGGCGTGGGCTGCTGGCCGGAGGGGAGGCGCTCTGGGCTCAGGGCAGAGAGGTCGGTCCTATCGGCACCCAGCTGGCCAGCCGGCCCCAAGGCCGAGAAGGGCAAAACCTGGCCTGTTAAAGAGGGGAGGGGGGGGACAAAATGATGGTCTTAAACTGCAGGGATTCCCTTGTGGCCACGGAGGGGAATTCACTGCTTTGAATGGCTTCACTCTTTAGGAAATAAAGATGCTTCTCCTGCACGGCCGTATCTGGGTAGCTGCAGCCAAGTTCGCTAGAACACGGGTCCCCAACTCCAGGGCTGCGGCCTAGTACCTGGGCTGCGGCCCATTCAGAGGCAAGCAGTGTGTGAGTGTGCAGCACTCTCACAAATGGGGCTTCACCTGCGTGAGTGTGTGTCGCTCACATGGGAGCATTCCCTCCCTCCCCCCCCGCCAGTCTACAAAGCTGGAAAGGTTGGGGACCCCTGTGCCAGGGTGTGAATAGGTGAACGTGGGTCAGGAGGAGGGGAAGGGAAGAATCCTTGGGGGACGGACAGGGGCTGTGGGGGTGGTGGGGAGGCCGTCAGCCCCCTTTAAGACTGCAGAGATGGAGAAGGCCCCCAGTGAAATGCCTGTGAGAAGATGGAGTTGCCTCCCTCACTTTTGAGGCTCCAGGTGTGCGCGTGTGTGTGTATGTACACGTGCACCCATGTGTGTTTCTTGGAAAGACCTTCCCTCCCCATCTTATGAATAGCTGCCTTTAGTCACGTAGAGGGTGTCACGTGAACGTCCCTGGCAGAGGAAGGGGGCAGTGGCACCGCGCCGCAGGGCACGTCGCAAGAAGTGGCAGCCTGCGCGTGAACCTCGCCCTCCTGGCCGAAGACCCAGCGGGGCGTCCGTCAACAGTAGGAGCGGGCCCAACCGGGCTTTCCCTGTCAACGGCAGCCCTGGTGGTCCTTAAGCTCCCTCTAAACCAATAAACGAGGAGGGGGGGGCGCTGCGCTTGGGCGCTGGGTATTTGAAACCGGCTTCATTAAAAGGATCCAGATCTACCTGATGTGAGCAGTTAAGGAGCCTGGTTGTTTACGGAAAAGCTGAGATGCTGGCAGAGGCAGCAGCCGCCGCTGTATTCCTGGAGAAGTTGCAAGGTTATCGTCATGGAAAGTGCTAATCATGCAGTGTTTCTCAACCTTGACCATTTTAAGGCATGTGGACTTCAACTCCCAGAATTCCACAGCCAGCGTTGCTGGCTGTGGAATTCTGGGAGTTGAAGTCCACATGCCTTAAAATGGTCAAGGTTGAGAAACACTGTGCTAATGGCTCTCCCTTGTCTGGTGGTGCCCGACTGACTGACGGGGAAGGTCTCCGCTCGCTCACCAAGGCAGCCCACGTCCAGCTCAGGCTGTTTACGCGCTCGGAGGAGCCAAGGAGAGACGGCTTCATCCCTTGCTCCCTTCTTCGCCTCCTCCGGCCTCCCCGGAGCCATTTGGACCCCGGGGGTATCGGAGGAACAAGCCTCCGTGGCCGTCAGGGGGCTTCCTACCCCGGCCTGGAGCGGCCCAAGCAAAGGGGTTCCGTTCTCTTGCTTGCTGTTGGAGCAGTGCAGCATGGGCCAAGAGAGTCCAACCCTCCCCCCCTCCTTCCCTCCCTCCCCCCAACCGCTCTGCGCTTGAC